CGTGGGTTGATTAGCAATCTTCCTGAAGAATGCCTGGCCAGGACACTGAGGACTTTGGAGCAGAAAACCTCTCGGAGAAGTCTCAGATGATTCCTAGCCTCCCGCCGTACGACATTGATGACCAGCTGCTTCCCAGGGAGCCACGGAGTGCCTGGTGCTGCTTGGTGTGGACCCTGCTGGTAGTCACCATGAACTCCTTGGTATTTTTCATCAATTTGCTCCTGATGTTTGTCATCTTCACCATCGTGCTGCTTCCTACCATTGTGGTGGTTTACTTTGGCTTCCAGTGCCACTCTCAGGTGAGTAAGCCTTGCTCCATTTGACTGCCAACAGCCACCTCCAAGGCAGGGCCATCCATGAGGATTTTATTTTAGCCCATGGGGAACAGTGGATGTAAAGGCAAGGCTGGACTCCCTGAGCTTTGGCTTTGTTTCCATAAGGGGTGTGTATGTGTATAGATAACCTTTTTTGGGGGGGGGAGTGGGGGGTATGTGGATAGACTGGGCTGACAAGAACAGGTTTGTGGCCGTTCATGCTGACCTGCAGGCTCTCGGCTGCACGAGGGAGCGGCCTCTCCTGCTTGGTGCCTGTGACACAGCTATAAACCAGGCTGGCACGTCCATTTATCTAGGAAAGAGCAGGCTTTATGGTTTCTGGACTAATTGTCTTAAAGCCGTTGGTTGGCCCCCGTACATTCAGGGTTGGGAGGTTCGCCCCGGAAGGCTCGCACTGCCGAGGCAGGGAGAGCGCTGGCAGAAGCCGCCTGTGGCTGCCCAGCTCCTCAGGGACTGAGACAGCATGGGACCCCTTGGTCCTGATCCCCTGTGCGCTGCCCTTGGTGCAGCTGTTCAAGTGCAAAGCGATCAGAGAGGTATCCACAGCGTTTCACAGAAGCTTGCTTGAGGTGCCAGTCTTGGGGGCACACCTGAATGCTGGCAGGAATGAGCAAGATCCATTTTTACCCCTCCCTTCTCCCAGTATTGTAGCAAATGGAAGCTTGTTTGGGAAATTCAGTTGTATTCCCATGAAGATAGTAAGCAGCTGTGACAGGTCAGGTGAATAACGCTCCTTGGCTCGACAGAGCTGCTGTCTGCATTTTAATGTCACAATATTTCTCTCTGTTCTGTGACCCCTGGGAGCTGCCAGCCTGAACTCCTCTGTAATTCACACAAGTCCTACGTGGGCTCTGACAGGGTTTGGTACTTTCCCTTTCAATAAGCCCTCTACAGTGTTTGCCGTGTTTGATCTGCCTAATGACTAATTACAGAACTAGTAAGGTCTAACAGAATATATAATCCCCTTCTCACGCCCTTGGGACGTTCAGATGTGGTGCCAATGTGCTGGGCAGTTTCTCACACCAACAAATGAGCCTCCTTTGTCAGAAAGGGCTCTGGCTGTGTGTGCGTGTCTGTTCCAGTCGCTTGCTGTCCTCTGCATTTCATCGTTTCATTACTTACAAATTTCTTGCTGTATTTCTGTAAATATTTTTGGAATCCCTTGACTAAGTGTGGATGTGAAAAAGCAGTTACTTCCAGGCAGTAACTGTTAGACCAGCTCAATATCGCTTCTCTTGCTGATGATCCTAAGTCAGAAAAGCTCATTTGCTTCCTACTTTGGAAGGGACAATTGACTCAAAATGTAGATGCAATTGGTCTCTCCATTCCACAGAATCTGAGCTAAAGGGAAGATTATTTAAATATTCTCAAATTGATGTATTTAACTGAGAAATATTGAAAGAAGAAAGTTTTTCCCCTTCCTTTTGACGAAATCTGTGCAAGGTGTTCCTGCCATGGCAGGGGGGTTGGGAGTAGATTATCTTCAAGGTCCCTTCCAACCCAAACCATTCTATGATCCCTTTGAGCAGATCCTAGCATGGGTGGTAGGAAAGGATCCAACCAGGCAGCAGGGGTCAGCCATTTGCCCAGTTTAGCCCAGTAAGGCTGTGCTGACATCTGTGGAGCTGTGCATGGACATAGCTGTGGAGGTCTCACCCCGCTGTGAAGGAGGAGACACCCTCTCTGCGTAGCTGAAGTGTAAAATCCCATTTCCCAGATGTGCAAGGTGTCCCTCGGCTCCGGGAGGATTGCTTCTTTGGCAGCACTTTTAGTGCCAGGGATATTTATTCCGAGGAGCTCTGTGTGTGTGGTAGAGGCGCTCATTCTGCAGGTGGAATCTTAGTTTGCTCCCTGAAGGCCTCTAAACCCTGGGACAGAGCAGCAGGCTGAGACAGACTGTTGACTGCGAGCATTTATAGCTTTGACTGGGGGATGTGCTGTAACTTTCCAGTACAGCCATTGCGTTGTGTTTTTCAGCTGACATCCCAGCAGCACGAGTGGTCAGCCCGCAGCTCCCAGTCTCAAAGCTCCCTGACAAAGGGACTGTGCTGTTGTTGTTTTCTCAGCACTGATGTATTTGCTGGACTGAGAAGTTTGGCTCTGATTTTTATTGCCCTGAAATTACGACAGCTCATAGCTGCTGTTATTGAAAAGCTTTCCCTGGATCTGCAAACTAATGAACAGGGACACATCTGTCACAGTGAGTGCCTTGTAGAACAGGGTAGACCCAAGTGCTGCTGCTAGTTGGAGTGAAGCATAATGCACAGAGAAATCACGTACCTCCGGGCCAGGCAATTCCCACTGTGGCTCTGACACCCTCTGGAAATGTTTTACTGTGGGATGCAAATGTGTGTGATGCCCAACAGGGTGAAGTGGGGGGCTCTGGAGGGACTACAGAGAGCAAATGGCTCAGGTCCTGATCTAACCCGTCTTCAGGGCTTGTTGCAACACTTTCCTTTCACAGTGCGTGGCTGTTAGAATTTTTGTGTGCAAAAGTGTGTAGAATGACTTGTTTTGTTGAAGAATAAGTCTTCATGGGAAATAACCTAATAAATTCTCCTTGGGAGGGAGTGCAGTGTGGGCCATTGCCTTGGTAAAATGTGGGTGCAGGTTCTGTAAGACAGGAGGCTTTTCAGGGTAGGTTGAATAGGAGATTGCCTGTAAAGCCCTTAAATCAATTTTTCCCATGATCTGAAACTGTTCCTTGGAAAACATCAATATAGACTTCAAACTGGACCCAAAATGGGAAAAAGCATGAGGACTGCCCCCTGAAATTACCCCTTCCAGCTTCAGCCTGCTTGACCCTCACCGTGGAAAACCTCAAGTTCTTTGCACACACGGTGCTCTGCAGTCGAAGGCTTTGAGGAGATGCAAAAGGTTTTCGAGTACAGCCAAGTACATCGGCAGTGAAAGCAACTGTGCTGCTCTTGGCTGTGAGGAGTCTTTTAACGCAGACTTTTCTGTAATAGGCACAGAGAGGGACTGCAGCAGCACGGCTTTGCAAGGGCAGTCCTTTGTCTTTGGGCTACTGCTTTTCAATGCCTTCCTAGCAGCCAGAGGCTGATTTCTGCTCTTCAGATCCATTAGGTGGTTTGGTTTTGGGTTTTTTTTTTAGTATGATGGGTTGTGTTTCTTCTACTGCTGAATGAATATGGAAAAAGGAAAGGAAAGTAGAGGACGTGGGGGTTGGCCGGTAGCATTTGTTAATGCAGAACAACTGAGTGGCCTTGGCTCAAATCTCCTGCTGCCAGGATGAAAGGAGGGCTTTAAATACCACTCAGCAAGGACCAGTTAGTGTGCTAACAGCAACATGGGCTGAATGGGCTTTCCTGGCAGGTTTTGCAGCGCAAAGAGATGCTTGGAGGTAGAAACAAGTACAGTGTGTATGGAGAAGACAGGACACAAAGGGGTCTGTTCCAGGGCAGGAGCCTGGAGAGTCTCCAGCCAGTGGGTAGCTATGGAATGACCAACCTCTGCCTGGAGAATCGAACATCTGGGTGCATTTTATTGACTTTGTTATCATTTCCAGTGTGTTGTGCCACCCACACCCATGTAGCAACAGGAGGCCTTTTCATTTGGTTTCTGCCTGTCGGCAAGTTGTGCTATTCTGGTAGCGATTAAGATTGGCGTTTCCTGCTTCAGCATCGGTGTGCAGTGCTCTTGTCTCATGGTGATGCTGGAACAGTTGAAAGCTTGATTAAAATGTGTTGTGGGTCACGTAGTGTAGCCTGAAGGCTGCTGAGCTCGGCTTGAAGAGAGGGAAGAGGTGCATCTTTCCGTGAAAGCAGTAGAAACTCAAGGGTCCTTTGGCCACCTTCCCCATCCACCGCCAGGTCCGTGACAAGCTCTGTCTCGCTCTTCCCACAGGTGCTGCACTCAGCCGCCCGCTACTGCAAAAGCCTCTTGGATGACAACAGCTCTTCTGCCCTCATTATCCTTGGCTTCGTCATCATGTCCCCTCTCATCGTGGTGGCCATGGCCATCTACTGCAGCCTGGCGAGGCGTCTCCACCTCTTCATGTGCTTCCAGCCGTGCAGCAGGGCTGTGTACAAGGGGGTGAAGTGGCGCTGGTACGAGGAGGGTGGCCTGTGCAGCTGTGCCAAGGGGTGGAACACTCAGGTCAGGGCCTGGGTCTGAGTTTGCAGCACCAGAGGCCCTGGCCCAGCCAGCACCCTCTGCTCCCTGTCCTGTTCCTCCCCACCATCACCTCCCAGAACCACCATCCTGAGATCTCTGCAGCTGAAGGCTCTGTAGTACCCAGATGTGAGCGGAAGGGAGATCCATTACGGAGCCATCTCCTACAGCTTTGTCTGTAAGTGGGTAGGATTCTGCCCACTGTGGGGGAAACACAGAAAACACGAGTCTTTGATGGTAAAGACGATGTTCAGCCCTGAAAAGCACAGGGACTCCTCCCAGTGCCTGTTGCATTCAGAGCACAGCACTGTTTCCAGTCTTGACGGCGTGTTCTGCCTCACACGGGACAGATACCCACCAGATATTCTCCCCCCACTTAGCAATCGCTCTTTCCCACAGTCTAGAGCAGCGCTTGTGCTCCTTTCTCCGCTCCTGAGTCAGGTCACTGGGTTGGCTGTGGAAAAAAATGCTGATCTTTGGGTCTTTTCCCTGCCAGCTGCTGATTTGAAATATGCTTGGCTGGTCATGGCTGATGGTTATTAAGCAGCAAATAGCTCCCTGTCCTTTATGCTGTGGTTGGGTTGTTTTGTCTGGGGCTAAGTCTGGCTGAGGGTTCAGGTCATTTTTAGGATTCCTGGCAGGAGGAGCTGAAGACTCATGGTGGCTGCTGAGCACCACAAGTTCTCCGTATGCCTGTGGGGGACAGTGTATAACGTCTTGTTTTCTGAGGGTCACAGATATGTAGATTTAGGGTTGGTGCTGCAGTTTAAGAGTGGAGAACTGGAAAGGGTCAAACTGACTGCTGACTGCTACGAATATTTCAGCGCCCCAATAAGGCTGGATATCTGGAGGACCCAGGAGCCACTTCGGCACAGGCGCTGTGTTGTATTCTCGGTGTGAAACAAGGACAGAGACTGACTGGCCCGCATGAAAAATGCAAGTGTGGCAGCAAGATGGTGTCTGGGGGCCTGCTGTGCTGAATATATGAGCTGCAATATCCAGAGTGATGTGTGGGGAACCACGGCTCGCTCCCTGGAGAGGGGCTCTGTGCCTGAGACCTGCTGAGCAGGGGAACCCTGCGTTCCCTCCTGTGATTCTGCAGAACTCCCACAGGGCCTGGACCGATGCTTAGCTAAGTCAACTGGATCTCTCTCTCGATTCCAGTGCTCTCTGGAGTAACACCACAGATCCTCTGCTGTGTGGCATGCCAGAAATGGCAGCTGAGTGGAAAGGACAGCGTGCGTGCGGAGGTGTGGCCGGCAGGGAAAAGCATGGCAGCTTGATGCATGATTCTGTCCTTTCAAATCACCGTGGGTCTCTAGTTTCCAGGTAGTGGGGGTCTGTGTGTTCCTTACCACTGCAAGCTGTGTACTCCCTCTGGCTGCTGTTCCCCTGTCTCCCAAATATAACCACTTTGCGTGTTATATATAAATAAAGATACGAAAAACCTCCACGGAGGGAGTTTCTCTCTGTTCTACCTCAAAGCTGCACCAGAAACAGCCATGTGGTGCCCGTTGTACCACAGTACGCACCACTAAGTTAAGAGGCAATTTCTGTTGTCTTTCTGAGGATTGTTTTTTCCAGTCTACGTAGCCTGCAGAGCCCTAGTCCCACCCAGGAAAATAACCAGTGGTGGCTACAGCTGAAAGTGAACCGAGTTGGCAGGAAACACCCAGCGCACGGACAGGGGGACACTCAGTCCGGCCACCAAAACAGACAAGAGCAACACCGGGACAGCTGGAGGAAAGCAGGGCGCTGTTGCTGGACCCCTTGTTTTGAGAAACCAGAGCCATTGCTTTGGGCTTTGGCCATCCTGTGACCTTGTGACGGTCCCGGTTTTAGCTTGGGCGTGCAGCAAGCAGGCAGCTCTGCGCTGCGAGCAGAGGGGCAGCAGTGCAATACATTCCCTTCGCTGGCTCCATGTGTGCGTTCAACTAGTCTTTCTGCCAGCCTTCATTGCTCTTTATCCCATCCTGGCAGTTGCAGTAAACCAAAGCCTCAACAAACCACCTCCACGATAGTTCAGGTGCAACCGATATTCTTCATTTACAGTTCCGGACGTTGCTCCATATTTTTCTACGTACCACAGAGGGATGAGCAAGTTTGTTCCGTCCCAGATCCTGAGTGGCTGAAGGAGTGCGGAGTTTGTATTTGAATGCTTTTTTCCATTGCTCTGGGATTCTGCAGGGCGAAAGTGCTGGCTGAATTATTCTGGTGCCACTCAGGAGAGCAAGAATGCATTAGCGTTTGCTCAGGCCTGTTACATGACCACAATGGACTGCCTGACTTGAAAAGGGAAATAAAAGTGCAGCAGTAATTGGTTTGAGCTTCTTTCCTTTAAGCTAGAGACTTTTGGCCTTCCATAAAAGGTTGTCTGTCCTGAAGCTCCAGCCTTTAGTGATTACTGTTACATCTTTAGATGCTTTGAAGCAGTAAGAAGAAAGTTTCTTTTCTGTAAATACTCTGAAGCTGACAGATGAAGTGGATGGCAAAGGCAGTACTTCTACATTCCCACTTCACTGTGGGACACAGATAGCAGGGAGTTAGCTGACTGTCTCCTAGCAAAACCAACATAAACCATAACAAGGGTGACGCGTGCCTCTGTATGGCTTCCTAGAGAATCTCGCAGACTATTGAATAGAGTGTTTACAAATACGACCCTCTAAATGGTCCCTGAAACACTAAATTTTCTGTCTCTGGCTTGTCCTTCATCAAAACTAAAGATCCAGGCTCGAATAAACATTGCTGACTTTCCTGTGCCCTGCAGCTCATCTGACAGATGTGCCCTCATCTGCCTGGGACCACCTTCTGCCGTGACTGGGGTGAGAGGAGTGGGTTTGCTCTAAGTGCTGCCCTTCCATAAGGTGCTTTGACAGCAGGCCGCGGTGCACTTGCATCTGTACAACGACAAAATCCTGGGGGACAGCTGCACTCCCCTTGGAATAGGGTGGGAAAGACACACAGGAGGGACAAATTTGGAGAAGGCGTCAGGAGGCCGGTCTGGTTCACAGGGCTCATAAAGCAGTGCTCCTTCAGCTAGTTCCTTTCATGAAGTGCCAGCTCAGAGGCAGGAGCACGTGATCGTCTCATGTTGTGCCTCAGCCTGTGAGAAGCGAAACATCCGTAAAAAAACCCCAATAATTGCGATTGATCCTACTGCCAACTGTGCTCACTGCCATTCTTCCCCCTGCGGTGTGGCCTTCTGTTTCCTCCCTACGCCTCTGCTGTCAGTCTCTGTCTTATCTTGAAGAGTTAAAAGGAGAGAACTAGTCTTAAGTTTCTGACAGGACTGAGAAAAAGCAGAAGAAAGTTCTGCTTCGTGAAGAGGAGATATCGTGCTACAGGATGATAAGGTTCTGCCCGGAGGCGATGTTTGCTGACTGGGTACAGATATTTGATATGAGCTGCTGTTCCTTTTGCTCACCTGTTGTTTAATCCAGCTGCTTTCTCAAGGAAAGTATTCTTAAACCTAGCTATGGTGCAAGTATTGTAGCGAACCATTCCTTTTACTGCCTCTGGAGAAGGAATTAACAGCTCTTGGCAACAGCCTTCCTAATAAAACAAACATTTATTTAATTTTGTATTTTACTTCACGGAGAGTTTTAATAGCAAAGGGGAAATGAATCTACCTGAAAGCACAATTCCTCTCTGCAGCAGAACAGACCTCGTGTCAGAGCGTTCAGGCCGTACCTCAGGGGAGTCCTGGCACGGGCAGAGAGCACGACAAGGCATCGCAAGCGGTGCCGTGGCTCTGATGTGAAACTGGTTAGATCCTCAATTTCCTGTAGAGAGGACAGAGACATCCTCAATATCCTCAGCCTTGGATCAAATCCTGCAGGCAGCTGTGCCGGGCTGCTTCCTGCAGCGCTGGCGTGCCAGGCGGGGACTGTGCCCACAGATGTTGGGGGGAAAGTGTGCCGTGAAGCAACGCCTGCCTCTTCTGAACTCCACAGACAGGACTTTGTTCTGGGAGCTCCCAACCCAGTGCAGAGTTCAGAGCATGGCTCTGCTTAGCGAGGACAGAAAGAAACATATTTCAACTGTTGTTTTGTTTTTTTTTTAAAGTCCAACTATGTATGGATGTAATTTCCCTGCCACACCTTCTCCATGATTCAAAGCCATGGCACTAACCTGGTACTGACCTACCTCAGAAGACACAAAAATATATTTCCACTCAACAAGACGTTGGTCAGGGACAGCGTTTCTGTGTGTTCCCTGCTCCCCTGTCCTCACTGACTGGTGCAGATCCAAAGCCGATGGAATCTCTAGAAAGATGCCGTGTCTCAGGGGGTGTTTAGTCATGGTTTGGTCCTTCACACCAGGGCTGGAAGCATCTGCTCTGGCGAAGGGGAAAACAGAAGAGACGCAGTTGCGCGACCAGCCCTATGTCACGCCTGGGAACGTGCACTGGAGCAGGTGCTAACGCAGAGCTGGGCTCCTAAATCCACACACACACACGCCGAAGTGGACACAAGGGGGAACCATGTAGCTGAGCCAAATCTACGAGGCCTTTTACAGGCTTTCACCTGTCTCTTGTTAATAATATTATAATAATACTATTATATTAGGGGTTCTTTAGGACTGTTGATGCTGCTTGTGTGTTTCTCTTTCACCCTTCCGGGTGGCTTCTCCAACACGAAGGTATTCATGGTTACCAGTGTTTAGTATATCATTTATTATCTCTTTCCTCTTAATTTGTTATCAGCTGCTCATCCTGCTTCTAAATGGCTTCGCTGCTTAGTCAGCCAGAGCTGACCTACAGACCAACTTTCACACACCTAGACAAGGTGTTGGAAGGAGTCCTGCAGCCCAGGCTCGACAGCCCAGGGCTCGGCTGCTGCAGCAATACCTGTTTCCTCACCAGTCTGTGCTTGCCGGCATTCCCGACTCCGAGTCAGGCTTCGAGGCGCACATCAGGCATCGAACCGACGCTGGGCAGCCCTTGAAAACAGCGCGAGGGCCTGGTGAACGCGCAGTGCTGTGGGCGTGCGCCCTTGGTTTTG